AGATTTCGTCAAAAAAACCCGTCCAAACACAACCCCAGCCAACCTCCATTAACACAACCCCTTTCAACGACCTCCGTTCCCACTATGATAACCTTGCTCAACCCCAAATGCGACCCCCCCTTTTCTAGAAATCACAAATGCAACCCCCTCGTTCGATCAGTGCAAACGGACGGTTGACCTTGCCTTCAACCAGTCTGGAAAATTCGTAATATACACGATCCTCGAGGACCCCGTTGAGCTCGCCAGCGTACTATTTTCTGTATAAGATTTTTCTTATAAAAGATGCTAGACGAATACCACCTATGAGCTTAGAGCACCATATTGCATCATTGATCCTATTGTTTTGGGATACTTTGTAACGTATAAACCTAGGGCGAAGTTCAAGTGTATATGGGGAAAGTTTGGGATTCTCATCATTCATCGTAGTGACTAGTGCATTTAGAATATCCTGTCTACTTCCTAGGTAGGGCGGTTCCCCGCAGGGCTCTCCATTCATCTGGTTCCTTGCGACTATAGCCTGGACGCCTCTCCTGCAGATGACACAAAGGGCATCGCACTTCTTCACATCGGTCTCCGTGAATAAATATTAACGTCATTAAGGGATAATGTAGGATTCACCATGCACTAACTGAAAAGAATTAATGATGGGTCGCAAAGGGCATCACTGCTCATTTCCAAATTTGCGTAGAATTTGCACTTTTTTGATCAGCGCCGGAAACTAAGAAGTTCCTTGCGCAGAAAGGTGACATGCTGTTGCACCTTCACTAACCATTTGGTATTGTTATCAGTAAGCTTTATATCTGTCGTAGGTTACTTCTTTGGATAAGACAATTTCTGAGATGATAAGTTTACTCAGCCAGCGAGCTCTTTAGGTCTGGGGTGGGGGAGAGGGCTTTATGGATTGCCTGACGTTTCGACGGAATCGTTTTCCTCAGAGGTCTTGTCCACCACCTTAGGAGTAGAGCAGCGCCACTCTAGGTCAGCAGTGGTTACTAAAACCATAACTGAACTATAAACTATAGGGCTAGTATGTACGACCATGATTATATCTGAGTCGAGCCCCTGGTGGCAAGGCCCTCGAGGAAGGCGATCTCATTTTAACATCAGGCCATAAATAAAATCTTCATCTGTTACAACGAGGCTGAGTTCTTGTGAACAGAGAACAGGGGTTCAGAGGGGGGGAGATTTATTGTTCAACAGTGATTCTGTATATATATTAACTGGCGAAATTCCATTTTTCATTTTCGGACGTATGAATCTTCAAGCTTCGTGAAAGAACTTCAATTACACCGACCATCATTTCGTTTATTCCTCCACATTTTGCCTCACGAATCAATCGAAAAACGTTTGCTCCAGTAATGGGGTGCCAAGAAGCTCGTGCCCCCAGAAGCTCGTTCCTATCCATCCTTATTGACATCTGAGATGTATTGAAATTTTATTTCCAATAATTATGGGAACTTTTTATGGAACTCGTTCCTGTTATAGTGTCATAAGTTATATAATGCCGGTACCGGGACTGTGAATAAAACTTAATCGCGCTTTCCGTGTAAAGCAGAGAATTTGCTTAAATTCGGATAAACCAAACAGGTACTGAAAGTTACAGATACCATTTAAGAAACTCCAGCAAGAAGCAGCAGCAGCAGGACAGCCAATGAGGAAAGTTATCGAAGAACAGGACAACGCTCTCGAGAAATCGGAAAGTGGCTTCTCAACTGTGAGTTTTATGCATTGTGGGTGGGAGGGGTGGGGCATTATGGTACCAGTAAACATTATGGTATGGGTAATACATCTCCTTTTTCATACGTGACTAATCCTCAGGCCATGGGAGGAGGAACCGCGTGTGGTTGAGCATTTTTTTTGTCTTCAGGGAGTTCAAGTCTCTTGCTAGAACTTGTCCTAGAGAATGCCCCCGTATCGGCGCCGCCAAACCGTTCTTTCAGTAATTCAACAATAAAATCGCCTATAGAAGTAAAAACTGTTTCAGCCTTCTCCAGTAGTTTCTTCTACGCTGGCAGACGCCGTCGAAGAGCGCGTAGTAGACATTGCCAGCCTGAATCTTACCGATGACCCTCTTTGCAACTCTGAGGATCTGAGGAAACTCATGCTTGATGTAAGTATTGATTACCGCTGTAACTTTCAAATACATGAACAGTTTTTGAAAAAGGAGCATTTCAGAACATTGACGAGAACCTGAACAGCTCAAAGCGACTGATTCAACTGGCAGCAGAAGCACAGTTTGGCGGTAGATTCGATGTAATTTGTGCCAACGGAGATTTCAGGTGAGTAAAACTCCAAATAACAACATTTGTCCCCCTCACCTAACCCTAACTAACCTAACCTGTCCCCCCACGGTCTTACCTAAACCACAATCCTTGCTATTTTATGGTTTTCAGCTACGTAACGAACACCGAACTGTTCTGCCAAGAAACAAAAGGTGACATCTCATGCTACACCTACCGACAATTATAAGAATTTTTGTGCACTTCAACGGCGATCTCTACAACCGCAACAGTGGAATATTTTTTCGAAATATTAGACCACTCACGGAGTTCCGTGACAAATCGTTGTTGAAGCCTGTGCGACGTTCAGACAGGTGTGAATGTGTTTCAGAATATGTGTTCGATATGGATGTTTAACTTATGTTTGTGCAATATGATTGATTATATTAATAAATGATTTCCCTCTACATCTGTCGCCTGCAGTTAGGCAACGAAACTTTGTGGGAACGTTGCAGCTTCTCACAGTATAGATTTCGGCACCATTTCAGCTTGCTACAAGATTGACAGTGACGATCACGCAGGGTTGTCGCCTCGCCCGGGGCTTGAGAGGAGCTTTCGGTATGTCAGGAGTCGTTACTGGGTCCTCAACTAGAACGTCGACTTCACAGGACTTGCACCTTCTAATATAACGATTTGGGAGTTCCACCTGTCGCCCGTGCAGCGATGTAGTGCAAGCATAAGGCGTTAGGCGATGATCGATCCCGCAATGAGACAGCCATGCAATTGAAGCCGCTCAAAAGTGTACCCAGGCCCTTGGTAGCCAATTCACCGCGAGTTTGTTTATTTATTTATTTATTTATTTACTGTGCGCCCAGAAGACGCGCTATAACAAGTCAAGCAAGAGGGCAGAGTTAACAGCTGTTAAGAACTCAACGATAACTAACAAGAACATAAAAAGGAAAACAAAGTGTAAGTATAAAGTAAGATGAGGTGTTACTACAACACAAAGCAAGTAACAATCAACAAGGACACGCGCAAATAAGCATTCGGAAGACTGCAGAGCGACTTGATCCTTAACGCGATCAGCGGAGTGCCTAATGAAAGATTTTTTATCTCGTAGATAAGGGGAGGTTACCAACAACGGCCCCACACGGGATGGACGCCTATGCGCTGAATGGGCGGAGTCTGCCTCGGCAATTCCCCGGTTTGCGGTCAGCGACCACCACTTAAATATGCTTGTCTGAGCGCTAACAATAATGTGTCGGTCAAGTTATCGAGAAGGAAAAAGAATAGTTTTCTTCCCGCCGAGGGGATACGAATGAAAAGTTTTAAAAAATGGAAAAATAAAGAGAAATAAATAAAAAGAAACTCATCTCGGGCAATGAGGGCCACCATGCTGTATCCTCCGTGACTGGATAGTAATGGGGTCTATGTAACCTACAGTAAGACTAGGGACGAAGATCTAGCTTACGCTGAGCCCATGGCTTCCCTTCCGTGACGAAAGATGCTCACAGTGACATTTTTTGCTCAGTTCTCATAAATTTATGCCTATTCCACTCCTTCTTAATCGAACTTTTTCTGTCTGCCCTTCTTTTGTCTTTACATTCATTTATTATGTGATATGTCAATATTTCTTATTATTATCTTCGGGCGGAAGTGGTGTAGTGGCAAGTGGCACGCTTACCACGCGAGCGGTCCGGGGATCAAATCCTGGGTCGTGAGTCGCCCGGGCCAACCAAGCCTTCCATCCCCGGGGTCGGTTAATTGGTACCAGACTTGTCTGGGAGGATAAAAACACTGACTTGTACATCGGCTGGCCCCCGCAAGTCATTGTATAGGCCACATCGCATTCAAACGCCACTACGAATGTACAAATGTGCCGTTTTCCAAGCCTCAGGCTAGGTCTCCATTGGTCAGGAACGCGTCCACTTATTCAATAATTACTAAATTTTTATTCATCTTTCGCTATTTCTCCCGGACTAGGTGCACATTCTCAGGTTACATTGGTCCCCATTCACATCTTATACCACTGTAGGAGTTCCCACCCAACCTCAATGATCGCACTTCTTACCGCAGCGCGAGATTATTATCGCTCTCTTATCGCCTCATAAATATCGGAGCCCTTTAATTAGACAGAAAAGGTTCGTTAGCAAAGAGCGGCGGCTAGAGTTCTCCATGAGAATCAGATGGTAGCAGATGGCGGACTTCTGCAGTTTTTCATGCCTAAAAATTGTAGCACCTATTCTCTAGCAAGGGCGTCCTCTCGTTGACGCCTCTGAACAACAGTCTGCCCTATCAGCGGGAAGAGCCTTCGGAAGGAACCTCACTGAAACCTACATCCGATAAGCCAATAGAAATGGATTTGATCGAAGGATGGCAGCACGAAACTATAATTAATCCGCTGGATGAGCCATCTATTCGGTTCCTGTTGAGTTGCTTCGAAGCAGTTTAGTGCATGAGGCATCCCAGCAGTTTTCTGAGTTTTCGTGTCTATTTCGATATTAAATATCTCTGGAGAAATTCTGAGGAAGTTTGCGAGCCGTAAAATCGAAGTAATTACTTGGGACGGGTAAGATCATCAAAGGTCTCTAGACCTATAGCCCCTAAGCACCAGCACGTGATTCTTTCGTATCATCACTCCTGTATGGAATTCCAAATGAAATTACCATAGATTTTATATTCAGAAAGAACAACTTGAAAACCAAGCTAAAGAATACTTGCCGAATCACCCAAACAATGAAGCTGCAAAATGAAAACAGAAAAAGAGTCACCTTTTTTCAAAAAAAATTAATAAAAGTGGAAAAATTCAATATGGTCGCTGGAAAGATTCGTGTGGAACTGAATTATAGATCTATACATCTACATGTACTTGATGCATGTATTTCATAATAATATGCAATGACTTCAAGGATTTTACCGAAATGAATTGAATTTTGCTGAGGCAACGCTCACAGTTCAGGCCGCTCCATCAGCACATCTGTTACAAAATGGGTATTGATTTGACGCGCGTAGCAGAACCGATATCAAGGGTTACGTGCCTTTTGCTGATGGAGGGCTCTGAAGTGAGAATGCAGCCTGGCTGATAAAACATGCTACTGTTACCGAATTATCAATTTCAATAAAGCGCAAATAAAGGAGCAAGACGATGGAGAATATAGCAAGCGATATCGATTGAGGATTGAAGCATCAACGAACCTTATATGTTGCCTACTGTGCGCTGGATGAGCTCGAAACAATTTGACCGTACAAAAGCCGATTTTCTGAGAAATCTCAAACCTAAAGAAATTTTTTTCTAAGACAGTTTTGTTTGAGAAATCTCAAAGCAGCATCTTCATCCCCGGGCTAGCGAGACCCAAGGTGCTGACGGCACAAATCGTAAGGAAGAAGAAAACTCAAAATCTATCCATTTTTGGTCATGGTCATAGCTACATATTTACTACTATGCAGAGAAGTTCCAAGCGGTTCTCTGCCCTGAAATAAAAATTTGGGCAGTCAAAATTCCCCGAAGCCAATTAAGCTAAAAATAAGGTTCGCTGTGGTGATAAATCAAACCCAAAGATTATCACTACAATTGAAGATGATGAAGACGGTAGCAAAGGATTTGAAGTTATTTGGTAGAAAACTCAGGATTTTCTGACTTTTCGAATAGATACAATTTGCGTGGTAGGAACTACTACAGGGTTATTGTAGAAGAAATGTCGTGTAGAAAAAAAACACAAAAATCAGTGATGAGGTTCACTCCCTGAACGAGGAAAGAAGAGCTGGTCATCTGCAAAAGGAGGGCCATTTGCAATTGAAAACTGAATGTGAACACGTGCGTTTCGGTCAAGGTGAGAAGTTCCGTAGCGGATGAGTCAGCCATGGATGGGAAACGTCATCGTCGATGGTGAAAATTGTCAATGACGTCACGGGAAATGATGATTTTCAAGTGATCCCTGAAAACGAGAAAAATCACCTCGGATTAGTTCAAACTGTGGGTCATTCTTAATTCGTTCTTAATTGCGCTAACCAGAACTGAATTGGCGATTTTCTGTAAGAAGGGAATAACAGATGTTCACTTCACTCCCTCACTAAAAGCAATGTACTGGCAGCACCCTTGAAAGGCAAGAGGCCCGGGTATGATTCCCGGCTGAGACGAAGTGTTCTTGTTCACGAGCCCGTGATAAATTCCAAAGGGACTTATTAATCCCTTCATCACATTCGCTAGCTTACTGGAGTTCAATCAATGGTTTACCTATTTTTCCCGAGTTTTTAGCGAGGATTTTGACTAGTAATTTGTAAGCAAGCTCGCTCCGTTTTGATCGCTGACCCCGTTAGGTTCGTGAAAATTTCCTGGCCCATCGAGGATTAAAGAGAGATATTAGATGAGGATAGAGTCAGAGGCAGATCGCGAAGGATGCGTCGCTGAAAAACCATTCAGATGTAAAATAAATTTTTTTTTTCAATTACGAGCTCCTCGCCCTAAAAAAATTGGAACCTGTTCCATTCACTTTACAGGTCTGTTCGACACCTACGTTTTGCTGCACTGTTGCACACTACGCGACACGTGATGAGCGTTTCTGCTGATCTAGTTTTGAAAAGCACGATCTCGGACAACCCATGTACCTTTCCGGTTCCGCACCATTGGGTGACACACCTTATGCCGCATGAAATTTGATCCGCTGGCGGCGTTGTTCGCACCTCATCGTTCAAACAGCACTCAGAATGCGAAACCAATTCGTTGTCATGCAATCGAACACCAGCCCGAATTGTGCTCCAGATGTGGTGACCGAGTGACCAACGATGACATTAGCCAATTTGAAACTCTAGATGGTGCCGTTAGTAGAGGCGTTTGGATAAAACCCTCCGATTAACGTGTGATGCAAATGAACGGTGTATGTTGGGAAGGTCTGTGCTAAATAGAGATAGAAAACTGCACTGAGGTACGGTAGTTTCGTGCCAAATCGAGGGTATGACGAACAGAATTGTTGTATTCTTTAGGAGGTTACAATGTTCGTGGAACCTGAATCGTCAGTTCCTCGCGTATTGTCGAGGAGGCTCGAAGGCTATTTATTCGAGGCGAGTTAAAAAAATGATGTAAAGAAGCGTCTAGCCGGTGTGTCGACTAGATCCCTCTCGCTGAAGGGGCGATTTAATCTAGTAGCTGTTCTAAAATTCACGCATCTTGCTAAGATGTTTTCTAAAGAAAAACGGAGGCTTGGATCCAATATCTTTTCATTGTGGTAGGTGGGTTCTGGAGAGACTTTCGGG